AGAGCCCCGGCCAACCTCCCCTGGGATGGTGCCAGGGATGGGGCAGCGACCACCTCTCTGGGCAGCCTGGGACAGGGGCTCATCACCCTCAGCATCCCAAATTTCTTCCTTCTCTCCAGTCTAAATCTCCCTCTTTGAGTTTCAATCCATCCCCCCTTGTCCTGTCCCAACAGCTCCTGCTCTAAAGTCCCCCCCTACCTTTCTGCCAGGCCCCTGGCAGCCCCCAGGGGGTCTCCCCAGTTGGAGCCTTCTCCTCTCAGGCTGCCCCAGCCCAATTCTCTCCTGCTGGGCTCCCAGAAGTACTTGAATAAAGCAAACTGATAGAAAACAACTGGCCTAATAAACGTCACAGAACCTATTCAGGAGCTGGATGAAGCCAATGCAGAGCTACGATGCCATTTCTGAGGTTTGAGGGAAGGGAGAGGAAGAGGAGGCAGGGAGTGACAAGCCAGTCTGTCTCAACAGGAGAAAAGGTTTTGAACACACCCAGAAGGTAACATGAGGACAAGCATTTGCCAACAGGTTGAAGAGTGTTGGGTACCCAGCTGCTGCAGTGCAGGGCAGTGGACACCGTGACCCTACCACGGTGAGTGTGGCCACGTCTCCTGGGCAGGACCAAGCTGGGCTGGGCCCAACACTGTCCCCAAATGCTGTCTAAAGTCTGTGCTCCTGGCTCTGCTGTCCTGCCCGCCCAGCAGGACCCCAGCCCTGCGTCTGTCACTGGTGGGGGTCTGCAGTTACACCATTATCAGAGATGAGAACCTTCAAAAAACACCAGTATATTAAGAAGTCGCCTGAAAACTGGATGAAAACAAAGAGAAACGAGTTCAACATTCAGGATTTGTCAGCTGGATGACTACAGTAAGGAGGTGAGACAGCAGTTCTGCAGAGTGACTGGGGGTAAAACCCCTCTGAAGTGTCCTGCTCTCAGTGGAAGGGCAAAGCCCCAGCCAGATACACAAACAGGCACCAAAAATAAGCCTTCCATACCCCTGCCAATCCAACAACTCTCCTGGCACTCTTACTCAAGCTCTAAATACCTTACTTGAGAAAACCCTTTCATCAACCAATCTCCAGAACAGAAACATCATCGACCTCACGCCCCCAGACTAAAGACAAGATGAATTGGGGCTGGTGAACAGGAGGTGGTGAACATGGGGAGCACGAGTCCAAAGCGACTGGGAGGTGAGACTGATGTGCTCTCTGCCCCTCAGGGGACAGGTGAGGAATGGGGCTGTAGCTCTGCAAGGCAGGTTCCCATCAGACACCATGAAAAACGTCCAGCTAAGGTCTGTGATTGAGTAGAGAGTGTCACCCATGGAGCTGCCATCGCTGCAGACACCTCACAAAGGTGCTGGGCAAACACCTCTGGGCAACACTGGCAGGTTAATCCATTTCTTACAGGTTTTCATACAGCCCGTTCACTTCCAGTTTCCTTTTTCAAGACTACCAAGAGATAATGGAAAATATCTGCACACAGAGATGCTGCTGCAAGCAGACATGGCTCAATACCTACAATGTTTTGAGTTATCTTTACAGTGTTTGTGTTTACCCTGTACAAAACCTGGCCAACGAGCTCCTCTGCAGCCCACAGCACCTCGAGGCAGGACTGCTGCTGCAGGGTGTCTTTTAATTGTCTTTTAATATCAACCCAATGGCTTTCTTCATCTCCAGCGCCACCGGATCTTGTTTCAGTCGAGCCTGCAGGACTCAGCTTTAAGAGAGCTGTTCAGCACACAACTACAGAACCCAGACCCTTAGTGTAGATTATCTGGGACAAAAAAGCCCCCAGGGAATACTGCAACACAGCTCCACTTCAAAAATTCCACATTTGCTGTTTGTTAGTGTATCTAACCATTTTACATAAATTAAAATAAACGCCAGTTCTGTGGTGCACACATCCTGTTCTCCACCACCTCAGCAGGGCTTCAACACTTGTGGAGATTCTCACATTTGGTAGCTGCCTTTAAGATATTTTAGGTATAAATAAACCCAAAGCAGGTCAGCAAAGCAACAGGACCCCTGGAACAGCTTCAGTCCAGCTTTCAGATGACATATGAAAGTCTTGCTAATCCAGACACTGGTTGGTTCAAAGTGGGGTTCAATATTATCTTCTATAAATCAGTACTTGCTTTATAAAATGTAATGGAAAATGCTAATAAGATTTACTTGTGAAATGAAATTGGATTATATCTTATCTATTTTAACTTGATTTGGTACAGTATTCCTCCTTCATAAACCAGCAGCTTCAATTTGCTTTTTTTCTTCTCTCTTTTCTCCCCCCTCCTCTCTCAGAACTCAGGCAAACACACCATGGATTCTCAGGCCACCATTTTTAAAAGGGAAATTAGGGCAGACAGACAATATAAATTAAGTAGAAAATGTAGATTATGCAATATGAAGCAGTCTAAAGGAAAACCCCAACCCTGCAGAGGCACCAGAGCTGTAACAGATGTGCTGTACGGAACCTGGTTGTTGATGTACAGTTGGAAGTTGTCCAGCCAAGAAACTTGAAATTCAGAAAGTAATTTAAACCTGGTAATTTTCTTGTACATGCTTGGATGAGCGAGCAGCCACTCTCCACGATGAATATCCACACTCAAAATGCTGCTGCTGTCCCCTGTAACCACTCAGGGCTCACTGATACATCCTGTTAACTGGGCACAATAAACCCCTGATTTATTCTGCAGTGAAGAACGTCCCTTTTAACAACAGGGAAGCAGCACTAAACATAGTCCAGGGTGGTGGTGAGATGATCACGTTCCTCACCTGGCAGATGGGCACCACGTCCCCCCCTCCAGAATCATAGAATTATTTAGGTTGGAAGAGACCTTTAAGATCATCAAGTCCAACCATTAAGCCAACACTACTAAGAGCTCTCCCTGGACAGCACTGGGGTGGGTGAGGAGCAGCAGGGGAATGAAGTGAGTTTGCAAAACCAGAGAGAATTAAGGAGTGGGAGGTTTTTGGGGTGTGGAGGGGGGGGGGAACCTTACTCTTGAGCTTTTTAGACAAACAGATGCCTTAAAAGGAGAAGCCAAGCTGCAGAATGTTGGCCCAAGGAAACTGCCTGGCCCAGGGTAACAACAGCACGTGGAGGGTTCCTCTCTTTTGTATTTCTTTCATTTAGATCTTCTTGGATTTAAACTTGAAACTGAACTTGGCAGAAATTTCTTGTCAACAGAGGCTACTGGACAAACCAGAGCTCTTGAGTATCTGTGGAGTAACACAGATGCAATATTTGCTCTGCTGAACCCAGCCCGAGCTCACCGTTCCCCTGCCCCCATCGCAGGGTATTTCTTCAAACCATTTTGGAGTACAGCCTGGGGGGGAAGGTGTCACCCCAAAACACACCCATGTAAACCCCTACACACCTTGTCTTACTGACAATCTTCCAGCAGCAACACCCTGCACAAAAAATCTCTCACTTCTTCCACAGTTTCCCATCCGCTGGGTCAGCTTTGGAGATGGGAACGTCCCATGGACACCCAGGAAGCAGGATCAGCCCCACCAGCATCCCACCCACGACAAGGCACCTCCCCTGCTCCCCCCTCCAGCTCCACAGCAACCTGGGGACAAGGTTCATCAACAGGGACAACATCTATTGTGGAAGACACAATGCAGACACCTCAAAAACTTGTAGCCAATAAAGACACCACAGCAATTTTCAAACCAGGAGCTGTTAGGAATGAGGAGATGGGTAATTGCACTTAACCCACAGGAAATCAGTGAATGAATGAGAGTCATTACACCCATTTTCCTTCTTTTGCTTTTTTTTTTTTTGTTTAAAGACCAGAGGGAAAAAGAATGTTGTTCTGACTGTTTCATGTCATCCTGAGTACTAAACCAAATTCAATCCCAAGCTGGAGAAACCTCCTTGGTGGGGAAGATCTCAGGTGGCCAGACCTGCCAGGCTGCAGGGACAGCTAAGAGGCCACCACAGCAGCTCCTGCTGCTACCCACCATCCATCTAGATGACACCAAAGCCCTTCCTGCCTTCACACTGCGGACACTACACGAAACAACTTGCTGCCTCTCCTGGAGCACCTCAAATTGCCACAGAGACCAATCACCACCTAAACATCCACCAGATTCCAGCGTGTCTCATCTTGCATCGCTGCACAACCCTGGGAAGTGACATCAGAAACACTTCATCCCAACCATTAGGGCAGACATTGGAAGCTGTGTAGGTAACAACCCCAAGAAGGGCTCCAACCCCCAGCTTGAGCAGCACTGAGCCAGCACTGCTGGTCCTCAGCAGGCAGAGGCAGGATCTGAACCTTCATCTCGTTGGACCTTCCCTCGGGGAGGCCAACTCCTCCATCAAACAGCACACATTGCTTTGCTACCGAGCCCCCACGAAACACCATTCACCACAAGCAGAAGGTCCCTGCATGAGCCTTCTTCTCTCAGCCACATCCACCTGCTCGGGGGGGGCAGTGATTAGAAGACAACAGGACTTACAGTTCACTGTGACTTTCACTTTCCTCACGTCCGGGACCGAGACGTCGTTCTCCGCGCTGCACTCGTACTCCCCAGCCTGGTCCCTCGTGATGCCATAGATGTCCAGGTACTGCCCGCTTTCAAAGGGCTTTGCTGCAAGGAAAGAGTCAGAGAGGAGTCACTGGGAGCTGAGCACCAAGCACCCCAAACCTCCCTGACACCCCAGCAGCGGCTGGGGAGCTGTGCTCAGCGCTGTGGGCACCGCACGGCCACGGGGAGCTGGGCAGCCCCTGCAGCTTCTGCCCACAAACCCCAGCTCTAAGCCAGGCTGCAAACCCCCCACCAGCTCCTGGGCTGGGCTGAGGGTCCTCTCCTGCCCCTGCCCCACAGCTGAGCTCAGCAGCCCCCAGCACTGTGAGAATTTGCTGCCACAGCTCCATACCTGGTGGGCTCCACAGAACACAAGGATGGACCCTCCGCCAAAACCTTGCCTTAAGAGTTTCAGCATCTCTTAGGGCTTATGGGCTGCAGGTGGGAGGGGACCTGCCCCTGCAGAGATCAGCAGCAGAGCCAGCCACCAGGGCAAGCTGACAGGACCACCAGCCCAGCCCTGGAGCAGGTGATCCACCCCTGCTGCTGGTGGCCCCATCACAGGTGTCCTCGCTTTCTAACAACCACTTGGCCTTGTAGGTATCCATCACCTCACTGGGTGTCTCTAAGGATGACAAACCCCCTCAGCTGGAGGGCTCAGGCTCCCCGACACCCCAAGGGCTGCCCAAGCCAGACATGCCCTGGGGGCACCAGTGCCTGATCACCTCTAGTGGGTACCCATGGGTGCAGACTGGGTGGGTCCTCTCCTCTTCGACCTCCAGGGAAACCCTTTCAGGCTTCCTCACCACACCACTCAGCACTTAAGATGTTGTGCCCTAATAAATGTTTCATTGTATTAATTAGGAATTAATTAATAGCTCTCCTTTCCCAAAGGACCCAAACCCCAGAAAGAAGACCCTCAATGTTTGCCTTGTTACCCAGAAATAAGGACACTTGGTGTGAACCCTTACGAAAACAGGCAGAGGTCTAGTTTATGTAAACCAAAACAAAGACCAAACTGAAGTATTCCTCTGTGTGACTCTTCCAAAAGCAAATTCCCCTCCACTTGGCATGGAGTCACAGCACACAGAGAAACCTCTGTAGTTCTCCAGATCTTGACAACTCTCTCAAGTTCTCCCAGCTTTTCCCTGCTGTGCTTCCCACCCTGCTGTGAGCACGTTGAGGTCCCCCAGATGAAAGCTGCTGCCTGGTTCAAAGTTCCTCTCCCAGCCTAGAGCTACAGTGCTCTAGGCAGGGAGCAAATTAATTGTTTTAGGTTCCTCACAAGGCACTCACCACAGAACAAACCAAAAAATGTTAAACACCATTTTTATCTTAAAACAATACATCACAGCAGCCATGATGCTGGAAATGACAGCCCTGAAGGTTAAGAAGACTTGCTGGAGATGTTCTCCCAGACAAAGGAGCTTCTAATGGACTCTTAATAACTTTGCAACTTAGGGAGCAATGAGAAAAGTCTGACCAGGGTGGTGTGAAGGAAGGGGAAGCACCCTGTTCCTGCCCATCACTGCAGCGAGTTCCATTTGCTTATCTGTTCAGGGATTAGTGTTTTAAAGTGAGCAAGGTTCAAAACATCAGTGAGAACTGTGCAGTGCTTGGTGGGACCACGCTCATCAATAACCAGAACCCACCAGGGCTGCCAGGGGACAGAGCCCACGGAAGCACGGCCAAAGTGAACCTGAAAGATAAGGCTGAAATGGGGAAGATTTTGTGAATTGAAGAGAACAGTCATAAAATCCAATGGAATAATTTATGGGATAGGAGAAACTGCAGGGGAATTCTGAATTCTTTTTTTTTTTTTTTTTCTCTTCCATGTTGTTTAGAAGAATAAATGGCAAAAGCCAAGTCCCTCTGCAGCTGCTCCTGTGCAGGTGGTGGCCCTTGCCCTGCTCTGCTTCAGCCAGGCTGGATCCACCTCCAGGAAAAGTGTACTTATTATGGCCTGGAACAGGCCAAAAAGCTTAGTTTTAATGGAAACAAAACCCAGCAGGTGATAACCTCATTCCTCTCCCCCCAGCTTTTCCTGCCTGGCATCCTTGTAGGACTGAATTCTGCAGCTCCTGGCTGTACCTGTGCTTCAGGCTCTGCTGTGCCACCCCCTCGGGGCAACGTTCAGCCCCAGCTGGAGTCAACCCAGCCACCTCTCTGTGTCAACAGGAGGGACAGGGTCACCTCCTCAGCACCTTCTGCCACACACCAGCCACGGCAGCTCGTGGGCTGG